AAATTGAACCAAACCAATTATTAATTAGTTTGGTTTAATTTTCTTTTAGTTTGGTTTGTTAGTTTGAATTGTTTGAATATTTTGTTGCACACCACTATGTCCTTTGTTCTTTTTCATACTCTCTCTCTATTTAAGAAACAATTGTCAACTTCTTTTTTTTGACTATTTAAAGCAAAAAGGCCTAACAAAGAGAGAATAAATTCAGCCATCGAACATTATTACTTAACATTACATAAGTCATTGCTCAACTTCTGCATCATGTTTGCTTAGAACGATCACTATTGAATATTTGCCATAAATCATGGCCATATTAATAGGAGCAATAATACACAATCAAAATGAGTAAACGGTCAGCTTCTTGTATCCACCTGTTTTTGTTTACATGCCCCTTGAACAATATGATCATGTTATGATGATGTTATGTCAATTAAAATACATTAATTACAATATAATTAGTTAAAATATTTTTATTGAAGTGCCTTGACATTATTGGAGAATCATAAAAGAAAGACACGAAAAAAGACAGTTGAAACAAATACCAATTTTCAATCTCATCCGAACTTGATAAGCATAACAATATGGTTGAAATATATGAATATTATGATGTAAATTAATAAGGTGAGAGAGACATAAGACAGTGGGAGTGAGAGTCTCCAAAGCTGTAAAGGCTGAGAAAGTCTGTGCTCCAAAATATGTGTCAGATATTCGTTTGCTGAAAGACTGAAAGTTTGGCAAAAGACAACAGAACCCAATTAGTTACTGCTCCAATTGCCTCTTGGTCTACTGTAAAAATCTGAGGACATGCATTATGCAACTCCTGTTTTTTTTTTTCTTTCTCATTTTCAAAAGCTAAAACAAAAGAAGGGTAGAGAATATTTATATTTTTTTACTTATACCAGCTGATAAATGTAATAATTTTCTGGTTCCAAACTATCAAATAATGTTAGGGATAGCTTCCAAAAATAGCTCTTTTCGTTTTTTGTTTTTTTTTTGTTTTTTGGTATATACATACATATAACAACTAGTCAGACCATCATTTTTCGTACTGCCTAGTGCCTTTGCCTGATAATTTTGCCAAACAATGGAGAGGTGGCCTTCACATGCATGCATAATGATTGAAGCATATAACGAGATCATGGAGTCATGAATGTTTGATTAATGAATTTAAAATTATGATTTAAAATTATTTTTAATTTATATATGTTTTTTATGAAAAAAAATACTGTAATGAATTACGAATTATAATCTAAACCATAGTACGAATCTTTACTTCAAACGCACGCTAATTTTAAATTTCAGTTCTCCAACTTCAAAAGCTTCCAAAGGCACATCTACTTTGCATCATCTTGTGGGGTATAGGGTTTAGAGGCCAATCCTATTGATCTTTTGCCAAAAAAGATAAACGTATCTTTCTAAATTCGACAAATTAGCATCATGATTTTACCAGATTCCTTAGCTTACTTGAGATTATTAGTCTTTTTAATTAACTAACTTGACCATAACTTAGTGGGTTTCATGATTAGTTTTTAATTAATTAATTAATTAATTTATTTATTTTCAGATGCATGCATGCATCATATAATATACAGAAGATGTTTTACATAATTATTTTTGGGGAATCATGCTTAAACTTTAATTCTTCTTCTTTTTTCTTCTCCCTCTCTCTCTCTCTCTCTCTCTCTCTCTCTCTCTCTCTCTCTCTCTCTCTCTCTCTCTCTCTCTCTCTCTCTCTCTCCTGTTTTGAATAAAGACCTAGTAGTACTTATGTGACATTTTGATTAATTATGAGGTTAACTTTCTCAATCAATCTTTTATATACGACATTTTATTATGTTTTTTGATTAATTAAAAATACTTTAGTAGTAGATATTGTAGTGTCATAATTACATGAAATTTAACTATAATCCAATGAAAATAAACGTTGGCTGCTGATAGTATTCTTTTTCTAGTATAAAAATTTCTTCAAATGTTTGTCGTACTTAAAAATTTCAAACTAATGTGGGATATTCGAGTATTTACCTTCTTATAGAGGGGCGTGCAAGAGTGGTAACCGATGTCAATATAGGAGGCAAAACGTGGAAAAAACCAATAAAGTTCATATTAATTAGTCAAAAAAAGGTTGTCGATAATGATGATACACTTATCCTAAACCACTGTCGTTTTTCTTGGGTTTAATTCTACAAGCACCCTATTTATCCCTACAACTGCATTAATTAGTCCATCAAACCCAAAAGGTCATTACTGATTAGCGCGTGTATTTTGCTAAGTGGTGAGTAATAATTAACAAGAAATTGGAAGTATCACACAAGTGCAGCCCATGTGACTAATTTTTTGCCTTTTTTTTTTTTTTTTTTTTTTTTTTTTTTTTTTTTGTTGTGTGGGATCATTTCCATCTTTACTGCTGATTATCGGTGTCGTTTGTTGACATTAACGTGAAATTTAAGAGATGTTTGGTTCATGAATTAGAATCATGAGATTAGAATTATTTTCAATTTACGTGTATTTTTTGTGAGAGAAAACACTATAATCAAATCATTGTTTGAATCTTCCAACTAAACGTCCCCTTAGTGATTTCAGAAAAAAAAAAAAGAAAAAAAAAAGGGGCAAACAACGGTAAATATATTTGGTGATTGATTATTATCTTTTTCCTGTTTTGATTCTCGTTAGCATTATTATCAATTTCACAAAAGATTCAAACATTGAGAATCCAATGTTGTGACGATTCATATCAAAAGACTCCTATTGCCACATAAGGTGGTTTTACATTCATTGTTTGGTAGCTGGATCTTCAAATCGTCTCCGTCAAAATAAAGACAATATAAATGGAAAAGTGGTTGCTGTTGATGTCCCCACCAATCTTGTATTCTAAGCTTCAAAGTTATACGTCGGATTGGCAAAACGACAGATCAATAGTAGTGTAATTACGTATATAAATGAGGACTACAACTTTAGATTAAGATGACATTTAGTAAGGAAAAATTTATATTAGACAGTAAGCATAGTATAATTATAAGATTTATGTGGGAACCTTGAAGTGTCAACCTTTCAAAAAATAAATAAGGAAAAATGTTAACGGTGTCTTAACGTTGAGTAAGATAGCATGATAATGCAAACTAAAGCTCATTAGGAAATTTTTCCAGAGAAAAAAAAAAGCTCGTAAATATTTTTTTTTTATTTCAAGGAAAAAAATGTTTGTTTATAGTATATACTCATTAAAAAAACAGAGAGAGAGAAAAGAAAGTAATATTAATAAGGGTCTATTTAATTTACTGATTCGAATTGAGATGTAATTTTACGTCAGAATATTTTATTATAATAAAAAAATTAAATACAATTATTTTTTAAAATTTTTCACTATAATAAAATTTAAATTTTAAATTTAAATTAATAAAATGAACGAATTATTAAACTCCTGATAATATTGTGGAAACTGGAGAGGATGGGATGGCTGACCAGCTAGCCAAAGTAAAGAAAGCTATTGCTCAATGTCAAGCTAGAGCTCAAAAAAGGGCTGCTATTTTGAATTCAAAATGATGGTGGACATTATACTTTATTGTATTGATACGGGCGCCTCTGCATTATACTTAGAGCACGTCATTTGATAGAGGTAGCTTCTTTTGTTCTTTTTTTCCCCAAAAATGTAAAGTCTTATATAATGTATCACCTTTTAAATCAATACAATTATCAACTTCAATTCATTCTATACTGTTAAGTCTCGTTAATTTTATAGATTTGAGTTTTCAATTTAAATTAAGATGTGACATTTTATGAGAATTTTTTATTATAGTAAAAAAAGTTAAATGTGACATTTTTTAAGAACTTTTTATTATAAAAACTTAAAACTAAAAATTTAAATCGGTGAAATGAATGAGATTTTAATTTTAAAGTATACCAAAGGTCGTGTTATTTTCCTATACTTTGAAGAAGTCAAATATCATTTTTAAAAAAACTTTCCTTCTCATCCTCCTTTGCCACATATCTGGAGGCATCCAGAATTAAAAGAAAAGCGGAGTCGAATATCTTTATTGTTAATTATTTGAGTAATTGAATAAAGAAAAAGAGTTACCCATTAAATAAAGGGTATCACCTGTCAATATTGATTAGACCCTTTAGTACCGTAGGGTAATTTGTCAATTTCATTAAGGAGCCAACTGAGTTCATTATTAGCCAACTTCCAATTTTAAGATGATAACAAAAAAATCTCTAGTATTTATTTATGCAAAAACTTTTGGTGAGATATGGAAAAATATCATATTAGTAACATACTTTTGAATGGTTAAATTTTTATTAAATTCCATCGCTGTTGCTTAATTTATCATGTGACATTTATAAATACGTGCTATTAGTAGAATATTTAGCCTTATGAATATAATTAAAATTTTCAAGTCCCTTTCTCCTAAATTAAGGGTGCCCAAATCACATTTTGAAGTCACGAGTTGTAATTGAAACAACAAAGCATTCAAGAGAGGAAAAAAAAACAGAGAATCTATAATGTCATATAGACTCTGCAAACCCCAAGTTAGCCCCTACACACCCATGCCCACTTTTACCCAACCTTTTCTGCACTACTAAAGCCGAAGACAAAAAAAAAAGGGTAGAAAACAAACAACTGCCCATATCAAAGTTGTATTTTTTTTTTTTTTCCTTTTTGGCAAAAGGGGGGGTTTTATTACATTTTGCCCCACAGGGCAACAACCACGGCATTACGATTTTCTGTGTCTTTTTGAATCAAGTATTTGGAGGTATAATTGTTGGATTATGAGCTAGAGAGAGAGAGAGCCAGAGAGAGAGAATAGAGATTCCAAATTTTGAAAACCCACCAAGACAACAGAGAGAGACTTGAACCGTGAGGTAGCTTTCATGGCTTCTACGACTACTACAAAACGCGTTTTGGATTCGTGGGTTTCTTTCAGGTGGGTAATTCCAAGGCCTTTCTTGGTTCGTCTCGCCCTTTTCAACCTTAATATTGTCCTATTCCCTTCTCTTTTATCTATTTCCTTTCCTTTTCAGTCTGCTTTGTAGAGATCTCCATTGTTGCTTCATAATCTATTATGTACAACTAATTTCGCAAAATAGCATTGTGAAAAGGAACCTTTTTCTGGGTCCTTCATTTTTCACATTGATATTTTCTAAAGTCATCCATATATGGGATAACTTGTAGTTGTTTATCAATGTGCATTATAATTTCTAGTCTGAAAAAGGAAATTGGGTTTATAGACAGGAATTGTTTCAACTCAAATTCCAGGTGTCCCACGTGAAAGAATCCAGTGAGAAGTTGTTGTTTTAGTAGCTTATAAATTTTCCGGGAAAAAGTTTTCCAAGTAGCCAAGCACATTTTTTCTTTTCTTGGGGTGGAAAAGAAGAGTCGAAGATGTTGTGTGCATGTTCAGGAGAGCAATTTAAGTTGGAAGAGCCACCACAGTCGCCGGAGTCACTCGCCACGAGAGACTTCTCGGCGAGTGGTCTTTCGTCTAGAACCGGAGATTGGGAATCAAAGTTTGAGGACATTCAAGTGGATGAGGCTGAATCCACTCTCAAAGAAGCTCTTTCCTTGAATTATGAGGTGGCTTTTCTTTCATTTCTCTAAATATATATATATATATATATATATATATAAATATATATATAACTCCTTGGCTTGTTAATTTATCTCTCTTTTGTGATTACAGGAAGCCAGGGCTTTGTTAGGGAGGCTTGAGTACCAAAGGGGAAATTTTGAAGCTGCACTTCTGGTGTTTCAAGGCATTGATATAAAGGCTTTAACCGCAAGAATGACCAAGGCCATTGTTGAGAGAACTAGGCAGAGAAAACCGCGTTCTAAAGGTGGTGATGTTGTGCCTTCTGGTATAATGTCCATGCACTCTGTTAGCCTTCTTGTTGAAGCTATATTGCTCAAGGCAAGATCATTGGATGAACTTGGAAGACATATAGGTATGCAAAATTTCTCTTCTTTTAGTCTGTTTGAACATCATGGACTAGAACTAAAAGTGATAAACCCAAGTCGATTACAAGTATAATAAAAGTTGGTTTTGTTTTCATACTTTTCTAATCATGTTAGATGCTGCAAAGGAGTGCAAAATAATTCTTGATACAGTCGAGTTGGCGCTGCCTAATGGAATGCCTGAGGGCTTTGGTGAAGACTGCAAATTGCAGGACATGTTTCACAAAGCATTAGAGTTGCTCCCAAATCTGTGGACAAAGGCAGGGTTTCTTGACAATGCCATTATTGCGTATCGCCGGGCTCTTGTAAAGCCATGGAATTTGGATGCCGAGAGCTTGGCTGCTGTACAAAAAAGCTTAGCAGCCACATTACTCTATGGTGGTGTTGAAACAAACCTTCCTCTTCAGTATCAAGTGTGGGGTACAACTACCCCTAAAAATAGTATGGAGGAAGCAATCCTTTTGTTGTTGATACTCATGAGAAAGGTGGCATTGCATGAGATAAAATGGGATCCGGAAATTGTGGATCACTTAACTTATGTGCTTTCGGTTTCTGGACTATTCGAACTATTAGCCGAGCATGTGGAGCAGATTCTTCCTGGAATTTATAACCGGGCCGACAGATGGTACTTCCTTGCTCTATGTTATAGTGCTGCAGGCCAGAATGAAGTAGCCTTGAACCTTTTGAAAAAGGTTGCGGGCTGTTCAGAAGTAAACCACATATCCCGGTTTCCTTCTTTTCTCTACGGAGCAAAGCTGTGTTCTCAAGATCCCATTCATGCTCAGGAAGGGATAGAGTTTTCTCGCAAAGCAATCAATTTGGCCAACAATCAGTATGAGCATTTCAGGGGCCAAGCCCATAAGTTCCTTGGTGTTTGTTTTGGCAATGCAGCTAGAGCTTCTGTGTCGGATTCCGAAAGACTTATTTTTCAAAGAGAGTCTTTGCATGCTCTAAACAATGCTGCTCTTGGTGAGAAGAATGATCCTGAAGTACTATTTAGCCTTAGTCTAGAAAATGCTGTGCAAAGGAATCTAGATGCAGCTTTCGACAGCGCAATGACATACACTGGTATGGTGGCTGGCAGCACAGGACGTGGGTGGAAGCTTTTAGCCCTCGTCGTCTCTGCGAAGCAGAAGTTCGAGGATGCCGAAACAATAGTTGATTTTGCTTTGGACGAAGCTGTGAGAACGGATCAATTAGAACTTCTCAGGTTGAAAGCTGTGCTACAAGTTGCTCAGGAACAGCCCAAACGAGCAATAGAGACCTACAGAGTCTTGCTAGCTTTAGCTCAAGCACAGAAGGAACTTCGAACTAAGAATTCTTCTCAGACAGACAACTTTGATCACGAGGTTTGTATTGAAGTTTGTATTCCATACTTTTTATGCTACTCGTGCACCAACATCTCATGTGTTCAGCTGTTCACAGTTAAGAAACATGAAAAGGGGTGAAAAAAAGGTAGAGGCATGTTTATGGTGGAATATTTTTATGTGAATCGTGAAAATTTTCCTAATCATTCTTCAATTTGAAAACCCCAACCATATTAACTTTCCTCCAAAAATGCAGGTACTCGATTCTCTTCCGTACAAGATAATGGGCTGTCTAAAATCCTTTTGTCTTCACTTTCTTTTATCCTTGGTTTAAGCACTTTATGGGCCATTTGGGTACTTCTTTAAAGTAGCTTTTAAGCACAGTTAGCACTGAATCTGCCTTGGTTCTTGCTTGATTCCTTACCCAAAAATATTTCTCATCTCTCTCTCTCGCTCTCTCTCTCTTCTGCAGGCATTATTAGCGCAAAGAAAGTTGGAAACTGAAGCCTGGCAGGATTTGGCTAGCATTTACACAAAACTTGGTTTATGGCCTGATGCAAAAGTATGCATGGACAAAGCCAAGCTTATTGAATTTTACTCTCCTAGTAGTTGGCACACAACGGGTAGGAACTTGTTGTTTTGTCCTTTCAACGAAATTACATTTTGTGTGCAACTAAAGCATATAGTAACGAGCCGCGTTTTGGCTCATTGCAGGACTGTTGTTTGAGGCGCAAGCGTTGTACAAGGAAGCTCTCATTTCATTCTCACTCTCCCTGTCGATACAACCAGATTATGTCTCAAGCATTGTTTCAACTGCTAAAGTGTTGATGAAACTGGGCAGCCAATCACTCCCGATAGCAAGAAGCTTTCTGATGAACGCTCTACGACTGGAACCAACAAACCACGAAGCGTGGTTTAACCTTGGATTGCTTTCGAAATCCGAAGGGTTATTGCAGCAAGCAGCAGAATTTTTTCAAGCTGCTCATGAGCTCAAGATGTCAGCTCCAGTGCAAAGCATTGCTTGACAACTTCAATAACAATCGGCGAGTTCATCATATCAGTTGTTCTGAAAGATGGATTTTCATGCTTGCTCCACTCATGTGTTGATTAAAATGTATAATATTCCATGGCTACCGCTTTGTAGCTTTTGAGTCAAATGTCCTCTCACCGTTGCTTAATATTCTAATACAATGTATAGTATAGCATTTAATTGCCCCTTTGATAAATCTCAAGTAGTTTTCAGTTCATCTCTTTTAAATCAAAATGCCGTTCCCGTACGCCATTCACTTGTTAAATTGTATCAAATATCAAGCAATTGAAAGCACATGGTACCTTGCGTCACAAATTATTTTGTTGGATTGTTGCATTTATTTTTTCTTGGTGGAATTTGTTTCATTGTTCCTCTGCTGAAATTCATTCTCTGGTACTTTGACTAGAAAAAATAAGGGTAAAAGCAGCCCGTCTATTGAAAAAGGGAGTATTTGTTTGAATAGTACAAATGACATCAATGTCATATTAGGCTGAGAAAATTATGAAAATATAGCATAGTTTGATTATTTGATGGCTCAAAACCGTTTCCTAAAGGTTTCCTCTTTTTTTTGCCTTTCTTTCTTTCTAATCCACCATGAAATTCTCCTAAAAACTAGATTCGTGCTCGTTTCCAAAGAACAGTTGCAAACAAGGAATCTGTCACTACGATTTTTCAAAGGTTAACTAATCTAAAGTTGCTTCATTTGGAAAAAACAAAAAAGGCCTGGTCAAAAGTGTTGGGAGATGTTTTGTACACATGTGCAGTACAAGACACTGGATTTACATTGCAGGTTCATTATTTTATTTTTCTTTTTCTAAAAGAATCCCAATCATAAAAATATCTTTATAAGAAATATAACACAAAGTTTGATAACAAAATTTTCCTTGGATGCTAGCAATACAGGGTATACACACAACACAGATGATGTCTGATAAGTAAAAGAACAAAGTCCCAAGTATATCAAACAGTATCACTCCCCCAATACCATGTAATTGACTAATTTCATGAAAACCTGTTTGTGAATGGTGCACAAATGGGTTTTTTTTTTTTTTTTTTTTTTTTTTCCTGACTGAGAAAATCTCAGATACAAGGAAACAGTGACATTGTGTCTTCAGGAAGGACACGGGCCACCAAATATTTTTAGCACAACCACTAATGCAGTACAGTGCTTCAGCGCTTTCACATATTATCAATGAGATTTCCTAATAGCGTACATGCATCATGCATATATATGCGAGACATTCAACTTACTATAAACAGCTGTAGGACAGATACCATGCTTATCCTTATCCCATTTGCCACTGCATTCACATCACGAACCGGCAAAATTGTCAATATTGAGATCAACATAATATGTGCTCGGAGCAAACATGGCAGATGATACAATAACTATGTTAGGTGGTGGCATGGCATAAGTTAGCTCAGGTGTAATCTAAAATAAAGCAATATTTATATGCATAGGTGTAAGTTTGCTACTCGAATAAAATAAAGCAGAGTTTTCAACTGCCAAGAAGACCTTCAGAAGTCAGAGATATACAATATGCTAGTATAGCTATCATTACATCATCACCACATAACAAAACATTTTCAATCATTAACACCTTTAAAACTGGTTCGCCTCTATTAGAGTTCGCTGCTTGCTTTGCGGCCGCCTGTTGCTGTGCACGTGCAGCTCTTCCGGCCGCAGACTTCTCGAACTGCTCTTGCCTGCAAATATGATGAAAAAAGAAATTTTTTAACAGAACAAATAAACTTTTACTATCCCATGCGACTTGAACCCAGAACTCAGTACACTGAAAACAACTCACACACACACAAACGTCAATTGAGCTAGCCTTTTTAACACAACGAATTAACAACTATGCTAGTACATGAACTATTCTGCCATTCTTCTTCTTTTGCTACAAAAGCACACACGTTTGGCATGTAAAGTTAATACGTATTTTGCATGTAAGAATCAATCTCTAAACATAACAGATAAGTCGCACTCTTATGACTAAAGAGTATTGGAAAGTGGCCGTCTTGAACCCACGCAATTATGTGTGAGCGTTGCCTAATAAGCCACAGGCAGCCACAACTTTTGAAGGAAAGAAGGAAAAAAAAAGGGAGAGAGAAAGGAGAAGTCAACACCAAATTCGGTATTGATATTTGAGGGAAGAGCTAATTGTTTACAACTAGCTCATACGGTTTTCTCAAGGGGAACTCAGCTATAAATAGAGCTCCTCCCTTCTCAGTTTTGCATCTCATTCTCACCCTTCAGAGAGAATTCCTATAGTGTGAGAGAAATTAGTTTCTCTAGTTTTTTCTTTTTTTGTGAGGTGTTTCTCCTATTTACAAGAGAGATTGTTTTTTATTGTTCTCTTCGTGTAATTTAGAGAGAAGGTTATAATCCCCATTTTTCATAATGAAATCCTTTTACACTTGCCCCGTGGTTTTTATCCCGTCTCTTTTAGAGGTTTTCCACGTATAATACTCTGTATCCATAGTATCTTCATTTTACTCATTTCTTATTTTACCGCCAGATTTGCCAACATCATGTTCTTGGGGCAAAGTAGAGAGATTTTGAACGTTAAAAAAATGATGTATCCAAATTGCAACGATATCCAAGATGAACATAAGAACCATGATAATAACAATGACCAATCTACATATGTCAAAGCTTGTTATAAGTTTAGACTTAGGACACTAAACTGGACAAGGAAAAGTGTGATCAGTGCTTGCAAATCACCTCAATATTTGAAAACCAATAATTTCATCAACTATGAAAATTATTAACCATAACATATAACTTTTCTATAACTGTACTCTTAAATTTTAAAATAAACCAAACAGATAAAGGTAGTTTCAGAATCTCCATATTTTAAGCTAAAAAGAATATGAAACATATCGAAATCTTATTCTTTTTTTTTCCCCCCTAAAATTCTGTATATGTATAGGATGGCCATAAGTTAATTCATAGGCAATCCAAAAACTAAATAACAAATGAAAGTTTCCAAACTATTAACACGAACCTCTTAATTTGACCCCAAAAGAAAAAAAAAAAAAAACACACACACACACACCTTTATTAGATTACCTCTTGGGCAGTTTATACAGAAAGACCAAAAATTTCAGCTTTTTAAATGAACAACAACCAAACTGAAAAACCGAATAATCTTCGACGGAAACGAACAAATTGAGCAGAGATAAGAAATGATAAAATTAGGAATAATAGAGTAAGGCGAAAAGAACGGGAAAAATTACCGTCTTTGGGCAGCTTCGGCAGCTTTGGCACGGGCTTCTGCGGAGGCCAATCTTTCTTCTTCTTTCCCCTGCTCCTTCTTGCCTTCGTCCAAGCAAGCAAAGCACTGCCCCATCTCTCTCTCTCTACAATCAGGCCTTTTTCCCAAAATTTTGACTTCTTATTTGTATTACAATTCAGATCATAATTTATAATTTATTATAGATAAAAAATACATATAAATTAAAAATAATTATAAATTTATAAATTATATGTCATCTTAATTAATATTATTGCTGGCAATATCATCAACGTGTACACTCAGATCTCATTTATTTTACCACTAATTAAAATTTTAATTTTAATTTTTATTATAATAAAAAAATTTAAAAAATAATCACATAAAATTACATATCAATTTAAATTAAAAATTCGAATGACCCACTAAACTAAACGACTTTTATTTCCTACCGGCTACCAATTGAAACGTGCCGCGGTT